ACTATATCCCTCTAATTATATACTTTGTCTTACAAGTAAATGTAAGTGATTAGCAATATGCTATGCTAACAAATAAAACAGTATATATTAGCCTAATATACTGTTTTATTTATTGGTTAATAATATACTGATTTTAAATAAGTCTAATTTGTGTGCTCATTCTCGTAATCATTGCAAATCCCCTAATTTGCTTCTAATAAAGACTGTAATCGCAGTAATAATAATGACAACATATAGCATGTGTGTTACGAGCTCCGGCTGCCCCCTTCAGTTCATTATCAGTATTGCAAGTGAGGGAGTCAGATTATCATTAAAATTCATAGAAGAGGCGTTATAATGCGGTGAACATGTTGACCGTGGGCGTCATTGCAATCCTCACATGTTGCGGTCTGTTGCTGAAATAGATTCTCACGGTTGGTGCATCTTTATCCTGAGCACTTGGTACGATAACGTTAGCTTAGCTTGCGGATCTCGTGGACGTTTGTTGTTTAGTAAATATAGAGTATAATTGGATAACTCCCATAGTAATGCAAAAGTATATGTTGTACTTACTCGCAGACATGTTGAATGAAAAAAATCGCAGTAAATTGTCACTCAAAGTTAGGAAGACACGATGAGACGTTTTCTCAAAAACATAGAGGGTCTACCTTTTTTTAAAAGTAACTACCGGTATGTGTTATAGATTAAAACATCTTAGTGACATTATCATGGTTTCGTTGGATTGTCAAATATCATGTTGTGCCTCACGTGTTCACGCGGTTCTATGGTGTAATGGTTAGCACTCTGGACTTTGAATCCAGCGATCCGAGTTCAAATCTCGGTAGAACCTGATATTTTTTCATCGAAGTATCGCAAATAGTAAATATGCATGCCGAAAACAACATGTAGAACTCGACGAAATTCCTATGTGAACGATAAAGACGATAGACTTACCTGTATGGTCAACTGCTTACTGTTTACTACACTGAAATATTATTATTATAAAATATTTTTTGTTTGTAATATTATTTTGTTTAACCAATTTCATTTTAAACAGTAAATGAAACACTATTATTCCATCATAAATATTTCAAATATGCTGCATTGTGAGTCTCAATATGTATCACGTGATTCAGCGAGTGGCGTCCACTGTCCAGATATCATTACAGTTAAACTGTATTTTTAATCGATTTTCAAGTAAAAACATCTTGACTGTTGGTATTCTGGCCATTTGAGGAATAACTCCTAAATAGTTCAATAAAATAAAACAAATAAATAAAACTCCTACCAACCAAAGTAGTTATAGCAGCATTCGGTCACGTGACAGTTAAGGTGTTATACTTGAAATGCCCAAGAGGAGTCAGTATAGCACATTTTACATGAACGTGGAAAAAGTGCACGTTTCGAGTTCATCAATGTTACTACTATTTTAATATGGAGATCGTAAATGAGGGAAATATATATAAGCTTAATAACATTTAACATGAATTAAAAACATGATTTACTTTATTTATTATTCATTTAACATTTAGGGCCGTACCCAGATGCAAACAAAGAGAGGTTTTGTCAGATTTAGCTAACTTCTGCTATAGCTAAGAAACCCCTACACAAATACACAATCTGCTCCCTTGATTTTCTTAGTCTCTCCACTTTCTAGATCTTAAAATACTCAATTTCTCTCCTGCTGTAGAACTCATATTTCCCCCCTTTACCCACTATCTGTTAAACTTGGCAGTTTAACAGACCCTGTATTTTCCAGGCCTGAGCCACTGCTGCCCATTCCAGATGTCTGTGGATTCAGGCTCAAAGGTCAGTCCTCCAGGCTCAAAGGACTGTACATGACTGTAATTTGTAGGTATAAAATTCCAAATTTATTAAGTATACAAGTCTACTTGTCTTGACCACCATAACATGCTTTTTTGTGTGTAAGTAAGAAGGACATTTTGCTTGGCTAGTGTTCAGGACAGGTTTTCATTGGATCAAGCGTTTGTGCATCAAAGTAACTTTAATTATGACCTTATAAAAAGCCATGGAAAAGTTTACTTTGAACTTTTAAACACAATTAAATATGGAAACTTATTTAGTTTCACTCAAGGACGCTTTTGGCTGGTGAAAGGACTTGTATTTTCTCCCTTTTAAGCGACTGTCGACAACTCGCAACGTGTACAACCGTCCAATGTATTTTACCTGTAATAATTCCTCGCGGAGCCGCAGAGAACAGCAGCAACAGTGAGCGAGTATAAATATATAACCCATCCAGCCGCTGGTGGGTATGGCCGGGAGCCAGGCATCACTGACCCCTGGGCTGAAAGAAGTGTAGCATTGTCTCTCTGGGCCTCCAGCTCGGTGCATTTCAAAATGAACACAAGCCCTTCTGGATTATTTACTTTTGCCAGGCTATATGCCACATATGAGTCAAAATGACTATTTCCATAAAGGAAGAAGGGTTTCTCTGGGCAATAATGACCTGTAGGAAATTTTTCTAACAACTAAGTACCTTTTTGTAGCAGTTGGGCTTGCATTTATAAGCAGTAAACGAGAAAACCAAAAATGATGTAAATGAACAAAGTTATGAGATATACAGTACCAGGCTATTGACATTTCAGAAACATTGCAAATTTAGAAAACTAGCCAAAACTCACCAATGATTCTTTAATGTGAAAACGTGCCCTTCTTTCCGCAAAAAAAAAGGTGATAACTTTTTGCCACACCTACCAATGGCCGGTGACTTAAGAAAATTTACCGGCCATAAATATGTTTTACCAGCCATGAAACAGAATAATCCTTATTAAAGTTCCAAAAGTTTTTCAGTCAAGACCAATGAGTCAGTGTCATGGTGCCCCCTACCATATAACAGTGAGAACACGGAAAGCCGGAGGATTCCGTCAATGGCGGGGAAAGAGTTAACATTAAAAACACAGGCAGCAGCAGGAATATTTGGCTGCTGTCACTTTAAGAGCTAATGCACGGATCCAATATAATGTTAAATATGTGTTTTATTTCTCAACTGTTTACGTTCAGTTAAGACAAGACTGACTATGTTTACAAGGATACTTGTCAAGACAGGTATTTTGACAATTTTCTTTGAATATGTCTGTTCAAGCACAAGAGGACCTGAAAGAGAGCTCAATTCAGTATTCGCGCACTGTCTGAGACGCGGATTTCTGGGTGTGTGCTTTGGATGTTTGCGCTCAGAAAACTTCCCACACTGCGCGCAAGTAACGAATTGAATTTCCTTTCGTGTCTTCTTGAACTTGAATATTTAAATTTGGCTAGGCTTAAACTTTAGTGATGATGCAGCACTGGCTCGTCAACGTTCCCGAGTATCGTTCACGTTCTCACAATTTTGCATCGTTAGAATTCATAAAAATGTTAGCGCCCAACTGGCGATTGATACAATTTCACATATTACTCACCAACACTGATTTTTACTCGCACTTGGCAGTTGACGAGTGTTAATTTTTAGGCCCAGTACGCAGCTCTCTGGAAAACTTGATTCTGATTGGTTAGTCGCGGCATTCAGCGGACATATATTTCCTAATGTTTGCATGGCAATACTGTATATCAGTCCGCTCATTGGTGGAGCTGAAGCTACGGCGCCACTTTCATCTCTCAATTCTCTTAAATGGGGAGGGGCTTATAATAAGGGACTCGCGCTCTCGTGTTTCACCCAAACGCAACTGTGACCATTACCTCTCAGTATTCAATTGTAGTGAAAATGACCTCGATAATATACATGTAAATTTATTAAACAATTTCAAATGGCATATTAATTGTAAAAATAAATAGGAGTTCCTTTTGAGGGAACACCAAATAACATTAGCAAACATTATGAACTTCACCAAATGAAACAGACTAATCCCGCTCAGAGCGGGGCTAGAAGGACTGGTGCCGTTGGTGCCGTGACCCGGTTGGGAGTGAGGTTTAGGGGGGGTGAGTGTAACGTAGGCCAGTAAGAGCTGTGCATTTAAACCTCACTCCCCTGATCTCAAGAAGCGCGCTAGCAGCTGCGGTCTTTAGCGTCCTTGTTAGCGTGCCCGCCTCACACGCAGGAGACTCCTGTTCGGAGCAGGTCGAGTAGGACTGGTTACACACAGCTATAATAGTTCTGAACACAGTGGTGTGACAACAGACCTACAATAATCCCCAAACAAATAAAGTTGCTAAATATGTTAGAACAGCCTATGCTTTCTTTGACATTTTCTAAACCCCAATCTTGCATAAGCAGAGGCATCAGGCCAGATGGAAACCCACAAAATAACAACTTACAGCTGAGGTAAAAGGAACGCAACATGATATAGTGTAGGAAGAGGGGTTTTGTCTTACCATTGCAGTTTAGGAACACAAGGGTAGGATGGAAGTTTTGTTACCATCCTGACTAGCGATTACAGTGCATACTAACATATGTTATAATACAAATAATGAACCGAGCGCATGTAACTACAGATCTGCCCACTCACACCTAATCACAGTGCAAAATTGTATATAGGTCTAATATTAGAATATATACTTTAAATAAGAGATAATTATATTATTTAGGCCTATAATATTATTTATATGTATTATAAGAATCATAGAATATAATTAACAGTGCATTTCTTTCTCAATGTCTTCACCCGGACATGGAATTGTAATTGGTGGTCTGATTGAACTCTTGAGACTTTATTTGGAAAGAAAACAAAGTTTGCTGAGCTCATTTGTAGTCATAGCTGTGGCCGCTGAATAGATGGTCATCAATACATGTCTGGCTACTGCAGTTCTGGACTGACAGGAACGTGCCCAGTAGAACATGGCTAAAGTAAACTACATTTGCAAACCGAATAAGATCAAAAGTGTTTGACAACCACTTCTGGCTGATATGTCCTTAGGGTATGTAAAACTAAAGTTTGCATGTGGATTGAATTCATGTTTGTTCATGCCTACATAAATACATATATTATCGACATAGTACTTCTGGTTTAAAATATGCTAACTGGATAGGCAAACATTAAATGTACCAAGTACACTAGAATACAAATCTAGTCAAAATGATATTTATCATTTAGAGTAGTGCTATACATAATATTAAAGTGTGATACTTAATAACAACAAGCAGATTATTATTACAAATATTTAATAGGAATTTAGACAAATGTAAACAACAATTTACAAAGTACAAAGTTCAATGAAGCTGAATGCGAAAACCTTAAATTAAGCAAGGCTTGCAGATGTTGTAGTGGTATCTCAATTTTAAATTTTAAACATAGGGGAACAAAAAAAAGATATCCTAACAATTTTGTGACATTATTCACTTTCTGCAATCCAGATTACTATTTATAATTATATACTAGATATAATTACTAAGGCACTTAAAATGGGAAAAATACAAATGATTTCCAACATTTTAAACCGCAGATTATGGGATTCTGTTTGGTTCGTCGAAGAGAAAGGCAAGCCATTATTTCAGTAAGATTTACAATTCAAACAAAGATGATACATGTCGTACGTAAAACCTGATCCAGTACGCAGATTTAAAAAACAGATTCAGTCCCTCAATATCTGGTATCTGCGGCAAATCGTTTTGATTAAAATAAGTTGATTAAATACGTCTAAAGAGTTCTCTCTCACTTGAAACAAAGGAACAGACCCTAAAGCTTTTTCAAGGAGGACCATCGTGAGCATGTGCAGTCTTGCTCCGCCCCCTCCCGTCAGTCCAGTGGTTTGTGGGAGATGTAGTGCGAGTGTTTGTTCTCATTTCTCTCACACAGGTCCGTAATAGCCGAAATGGTTATGGTGCTCCACCTCGAAAGCTGTGTTTCTGCTCCTCGATTTCTGCTTCTGTCTCTGAACTCGAGTATTGAGGTGAAGGACGGACCTTGAAGAAATTCGCCACGTATCGCACCTGTAAGAGACAAGGAATGTTAGAAGAGTTAATGACCTCACAATGCTACACTTTAAAGGGATACTCCACTTTTTTTGGAAATAGGCTCATTTTACAACTCCCCCAGAGTTAAACTGTTGAGTTTTACCGTTTTTGAATCCATTCAGCCGATCTCCAGTTCTGGCGGTACCACTTTTAGCATAGCATACATCATTGAAGTGGACAAGACCATTAGCATTTCAAAAAAAAAAAAAAATGAGCAAATTTTCGAGATTTTTCCTATTTAAAACTTTTTAAAACTATTTAAAACTCTTCTGTAGTTACATCGTGCACTAAGACCGACGGAAAATGTAAAGTTGCGATTTTCTAGGCTGATATGGCTAGGAACTATACTCTCATTCCTGCATAATAATCAAGAAACTTCACTGCCGTACCATGAGTGCAGCAGGCGTAATGATATGACGCAGCGCCTGAAAATAGGCTACCTTCCGTCAACACAACGGAACTATTTTCAGGCGCTGCGTCATATCATAAAATATCATATCGGAAAAATATCGAAACTCTTTGGTCATTTTTTTTTTAGAAATGCTAATGGTCTTGTCCACTTCAATGATGTATGCTAAGCTATGCTAAAAGTGGTACCGCCAGAACCGGAGATCGGCTTAATGGATTCAAAAACGGTAAAACTCAACAGTTTAACTCTGGGGGAGTTGTAAAATGAGCCTATTTCCAAAAAAAGTGGAGTATCCCTTTAAACTGAATCCAGTCTGAAACCAGTCATACTGGTTTGGAACAACATGAGGGTGGGGAAAGGATGACAGATGTAAAATTTTTGGGTAAAATTGCTCTAAAAAGAAAAAGTGTTAACTTACAATGAGAATTGCAATGAGCGCCCCCTGGAGGAGCCCCACCAGCACGTCGCTCCAGTGGTGCTTATAATCGGACACGCGGGTGTAACCTACATACACAGCAAAGGCCACCAGGAAGAACTGGATGGTTGGCCTCAGAAGACGGGCCCATTTCGCATTCAGTCTGGCCTGCACATAGAACTAGGGAAAGAAAAGAAAAAGAGGTGTCTTTTATTTGCTGAATGATAATGACTTAATTTGCTGACAAGAAATAACGAAAGCAAATGGCGATTTTGTTTTGCTCTCTGATAGTTTCGTTAAATTAGTTCAAGGTTTTGCAAACTCTGCAACGAAAAACTCCTATTATTGTAAATACCCGCACAAATTTGAACTTAATTTTTTTTAACTAAATTTTGAACTATTCCTCATTGTGTCCTATTTATGTCATATCTATACTATGCTTCAAAAACAGTTGCTCCTTACAATGCTACATTTGACAAATGGACCTGTTTGGCTGCAAAATTGTTGGCAAAATTTTCCGAATGTGACCGAATTTTATGAAGCACAGCTCACATACAAGTCTCTTTGAAACCAAGCAGATTTCTGTTGGCGAACACTGCGAATTTGGATCACGACGATCCATACTGATATGACTGAATTTGCTGAAAAACAGTAAAAGTGACCGCACATTTAACCCTCTGGTGATGCTCGTGTGACGGTCCAAAATTACCAACAATATATTTTTTTTCAATAAAATGAATGTTCTATAATTTAGTTTGATAATGTGTTTTATTTAATATTTTGTATTTTAAGAGGATTTTATGGTACTTAAGTTGGTACCTGAAATTTTTCAACTTAAACTGTCATAAATCTTAAATATTTTGCACAGACTTAAGTTTGGTCTTTTTTTAAAGAAGACACGTGGCAAATTATTGTTGAAGTAAAAAAAAGAAAAAGGTTATAGAAGTTTAAGTTTATTATTATGTAATATATAAAATATTTTAAATAAATTATATTTTTTATTTTATATGAAATATATATTTTCCAAAACACATTTTACTCTAAACCTGTGAGAAAATCAAAGCCATAAATCTAAACAAGTTTTGTTCCAAATTTGAGGTCGATCAAACAATGAGCTTTCAGTAAGATTCCACTAGATTACATTTCGTTTCCCATTCCTTTCCAATGCAGTGAGACAATTTAATTCAGGACCATTTAACCTTTTTGAATCATTTCCATGATTGTGTATGTGTGTGTGTGTTCACATAGCAAGTGCCAAAACCTTTACCAAGTTTCATACCATTCTGATGAAGTAAAAAAAAAAAAAAAAAAAAAAAAAAATTATTTCAGCCCAAAAAGACTGAACAGCACCAGAGGGTTAGATCTGTACTTTTACTGACTCTAGTGAAATAAAGCCAAAACAAATAGTCCCACTCCCAAACTGTTGGTTGATCCCAAGGGTTAAATGTTTAGCGGGTAAGCATTCGATTGCTACACCACTCACCGCTAGAAACAGCATGCAGTACATCCCGAAGGAGGAGTGACCTGAATAGAAGGACAACCTACGACACACAAATCACATATAGTTCACAGAAATTCACTGAAATCAAAGCGTTTAAAGGATTTATGTTGAGAGACATACCTGGCTTCAGTCACATGATGCGAGTCACCAGTGCAGTTGATCAAAGCCACGTATCCTTTGCAGACTTTGGGAGCACACACTGCTAAGAAATGTGGACGTGGTCGCCCAATGGTGTACTTGGCCAAGTCCGTCAGTGATTGGCTGACAGCTCCCCCAAACAGGAAGGCGCCCAGCACCTTATAGATGGCCGATACATATTGATTAAAGGTAGAGTTGGAGTGAATTTTCTTGCTGTACACCAGATACGCTTCACCCGATGATATCTAGAGGAACAGAAGAGGTAAAAAGTTAAGTAACGTGATGCATTTCTGTAGCTTTCAACAAGGATCAAAACGGTTACGCTACATTAGGTTTGTCATAAATGTGTCAAACACGTCCATGAGCACAAAATGCTGTGTTGTTGTGCATAATAAACCCCTCTTCTGTGCAGAGTCATGAACGGACACTTTGTTGAGGATCAGCATGTGACTCAAGGGATGATGATGAGATCATGGGCGGGATGATGGAGATGAATGAATGAGGGACTCACGATAATGATAGTGCAGGTGATGGTGACTAGAGCCAGCGTCACGTGTGTGATGGTGTCCGGTCTTACGGGGTAACCGATGCTCTCGTCCTGGCAGTAGATCGCCCGCTCGTATGGCCGGGACGCGATATTCATTATAACAAAGGGCAGAGAAGCTACAGGAATAAGAAGAAGAGAGAATAAAAAAATAAATACATAGAGAGATAAATATCTGCTTCATAAATGATGAGTTAACAAATGTGGAGAATATACAGGGTGAATCTCCTGAAACCTGGAAAGAACCTCTCTGGGTCATATTTCACCTCAAAGAAAATACAATTTCCATATATTCATTACAATTAAAGACTTTTTTTTTACAGCCATTTCTCATAACCAAATACATATCAACAATACCAACATTATATTATTTTTATTATAATGTATATATTTACATGTATAAATCATTGTATGTTTGTTACACTGCCTTTTTTTTTTTTTAGGAAAATCATATATTAAATAAAAAATAAATTGCATAACTATTTATAATTAAATCAAATATAAAATAAATGGAAAAAAAAAATCTGTTGACTTATGGGTGAGATGTCAAGTTTTTTGTTATTGTTAAAGTAACTAAATAGCCAAAATTATTTTTTTCCATTGTGGCATTATTTTCATAAGCACATTTCCCAAACCATTTCTCACTACATTAATATAAAAAAAAACTATATATTTACATCATAAAGTATCGATATTCGATACCATTTTCGATATCACAGGGAAAATTGCCATATATACCTCCATTCAGATAATTTATCATCTCATAATTTTTGGATAATTTTGTTGTAATAGCTAGCTTACACACAGCACAGGCATAAAATAAGAACAAATAAACAAACTGCAAATGATAGCACAAATAAATACAATATAATACAGAGACAAATTAAATAAACATGGATTTAAGTTTTCCAGGTGGGTCTAACAGTAGTATTCAGGTAAGAAATACTACAGAAATTTGAGTAATCAAATGTGAAGACTATCCAGTGTTATTTTATTGTAAAAATACAGATTAATACTGCAATTACAGTTAGAAAAGTTATTCAGTCAAGTGCAGCAAGTGATTTTCTTAGTTTTTTTTTGTTGTTCTTCGATTAACATGACAGACAGGTTTATTAGGCCGCTGTCACTTTAAGAGCTTATGCGAGGATCCAAAATACTGTTACACAACATGTGTTTTCTCCATAGATTGTACAAAAATATGGACGTAGTGTCACCCGTAGGTTTCTGAAGAGCATTTTTGAAGCCCAAAGTAGGCGGAGCCGGCCGTCGCCATCTTGGCAGCGCGTCAAAGAAGCGGGATTAGCTGAGGTGACGTGACGCTAACAGACAAAAGACAAATGGCTAGTAGTGACAAACGGCAATCCACCTGTCACTCAAGTGGCCACGCCCTTAATTATGCAGAACTTTAAGGCTTAATATCATTTAAACGAATGAGTTATAAAAATTCACCCCCTCACAGTTGGCATGAAGGGCAAAATTAGCTATATAGACTAAAACCACTTTTTGTACGAGCCTGTAAGCATTTTTTTTTTCTGCTGTAAAGTTGGAGATGTTAACATGAGGGTCTGTTGGATTCAAAAGAGAGATCGGAAGGTTGCCACTTGGTTTTCTCTCAACCATTTACGTTCCAAAACTGACTAAACTATATTTACTTTAACTGACTGTATAGACTTTTTTAGAAACACTCATCTGAATTCAGTCATGGAAGCAGCGTGTATTTATAGTACCTCTTTTTTCCAGAGTCACACGGAAACACATTTATCCCACAGCTATGAGGAAGTCACCTGACCACACCGTCTTAACCCAAAACATGTTGTGTGCCATATCATAAACATTCCTGTACACACCCACAGCCTAGACATCCTTTCCACAACGCCTTGGTCGGTGGACTGATGTGGCTGGAGATGCACATGTCTGAATGCTGCACAGCGTGATCCTTTAATGAATGGAAAATGTCCTTGGGACATTTGGAAATGTTACAAAATCACTCTCCAACCACGTGATCCTACGCCACAGCACTTAAAGGACACCGTAAGAGCAATTCTACTTCCTGAAATTCCATTTTCTGGACATATAATAACACAGTGTTCTAGTAAGTTTGCATATCTTTAACTGCCAGAAAATATTCTGCTGTTTGAATGGAATATACTTGTGTAGATTTGTTAAGCAGGCTAAGAATGTAAAGGACCTTGTTTCTTCCAGTCAACATCAGGGACGGAGTGTCAGGAAGATGCTACATCAGCAGGAAAACATGCAGTCTGTTGGTACAAGCCAAAAATATGATTCTGGACCTTATGGTTGACTCAGTTTATGTCTAAATAAATATGGATGAGCAGCATCCCACACAAATCTAGGATTGCCCAAGTGCCATTTATACCACTGCAGTATTACAATGTACAAGAGCATTTGTGAGACAGATGGTCAGGTCCATCACAAAATGTAACTCTGGGCTCACTGTGATATTTACACATGGTTTATTCTTCAATATTATTCTACAAGGGCCATTAAAAATATATATACAAACAAGCTCATAATCTGTACATATGGAGCTTTCAGCTTACTAACAGAATTTAGAATAATATATTCCAACTAGAAAAAAAAATCCCTCAAAGAAATGTTTACAAATGGTTTTTGTTGTTAAAACAACAAAGCATTATGCTGGATAAAACATGGTAGCAATGTCTAAAAATTCATATGAATGTTCTAGGTGACTGATGAATGAAAACATATGGAACACCAGGGAAACATACAAGAAAATGAGAAGTTTACCTGGTTTTAAACTCGTCTTTTGTCAGTTTATCGACAGAGAAAAAGGGTTTATTACTGAATTGAATTGTTGGGTCATATGAAAAAACAACCAATAATCACTTTAGCAAGTTAATCTTGAAGCTGAATGACAACTAAAAATTCAATAATTGAAATTTAATTGTAAAGTTTTAGCACTAGAGATGTTGAACTAAATCCATGAGAAAAGTTGAAATGCAATGGAGCAAAATACGTATCCAAAACAAGTCATTTTGAGTTTCAATGTATTCTTGAGACGTTCACGTCACGACAAGAAACAAAGAGTAATCGAGTCATAGAGAGTCACTTAACAACAAATGAGTGTCTTTGTATTCCAAAAACAAAGAACAACGGTTTTTGAAATGACACTGTATTTCCATACACTGGCTTGGACAGTGAGAACACACACACTCACTCGTTACAAAACACCATAATGACATCCTCAATGGTGCACTAATAAAAACATACTGCTCATGTAACCATGCTCCAAAAACAGTCATTAGTTTTTACCACTGTATATTGCTTCTTTTTTTTAAACATTCACAAATGTTTTCTCTTTTGTTTTGCAGCAAAACAAAAAAAAGTGGGTTTTTTTAAAAAATATTTACAAATATGTTTTGTTTTCTTTTGTTTCGCAGCTTGCAAAACAAAAAAAACAAAAAATGTTTTAGGAAAAATATTTACAAATATGTTTTGATCTCTTTTGTTTTGCACATTACAAAAACTTTTTGAAAAATATTTACAAATATGTTTTGATCTCTTTTGCTTTGCACATTACAAAAACTTTTTTTAAAAAATATTTACAAACAGGTTTTGTTTTGTTTTGTTTTGTTCAAACCTCCTGGGGGAAAAAAACTTTACCTTAAATAGTTCACTTTAACCAGTTAGCTCGAAAGGATGTGATCCACTTGCTGAAAACGGTACTGAATGTAAACCCCTAGTTTTGTGGCCATTAAGGAGATTTACCGTTTACGAACAATGAAAGAAAAAATAAACTATCCCTCAGGCCTCATTGATCATCATGTGAAGGGACTCGAGACCCCAAACAATGGCTACAGTTTTAACACTCACTTGAGATTCAGACACTTTGAGGATCTGGAGCTGAGCTTGGATTTCCTTTTCTGTTTGCCAGCTGTATAGGCTAATCTCCAAACAAATGAAAATAAATGCCCAATAAAACTTAAGTCACATTTTTCCTTCTTCCTCTCCAGGCTTTTCAACTCTTGAGAGAACAAAAAGACGGGTAAGACTGAAAGGCCTTTGATACAGATTTTTATGGTCAATGGAAAAATAAAGAATGAACCCTGAGTACATTTTTTTTTATTTCAAACTGTCATTGATTAATGCCAAACACAATTAAAACACCTAGAAACACTAAGAACGAAGTCTAAAATGTCAACTTTACAGTTAAAAAGGCTAAGCACTATATTCTGGTACTCGTCAGAGAAATTCATGAGCATTACTTCTGAAATATCTTCCAGATTGTGTTCCCAGGGAATTAAGTCAGTATAAGGTAAAAGGTCAAAGAACTTCAAACGGTTCGAGTTCAAAGCCTCAGTTGGCAGGTGCGAGCTTGGCGGTCGTTTAATTACGCAATGAAACGGGACTGCAGGGAGAGATGTGGCGCTTAGAAGTGAGAGGGCAAGAAGTCTTGAAGAAAGTCACGGTTGACACCCAACACATTGCAATATTGGGGCTGCACTGAAAATCGAACCTCGTCTCAACTGCCACCAGCCGTCACCCATCAACCATTCCCTGAAACAAATTAGTTCCATTTGAAGGTACAGGAAGTCAAATTTCCTGTAAAACATTAAGGGACCCCAGTTTGGTATGAGCTCTTTTTATGAGCCCATGGACTGTGTTTTTCCCCCCCTTCATGCTATGGAAGTAAAGGCAATGTACTCTAGTTTCTTAACTGAATAGTTCATTAATTAAAAGTCGGTCATTTACCCAACATCATGCACTTTTTACATGAAAAAAGTTGAAGAATGAAAGAAGACTATACAACTTCTGCTCTATATTCCGCGTCTTCCAAAGTCATAAGTCATAGCCTGGAATTTAAGTCATTATTCACTGAAAGTCTTGCTTAAAAACAGTGTTATTTTAGTATTATTCATATACTATTCTAATATTCAAATAATATTTAGAATTAGCTTTTATTTTTATATTTTCAGTTTAGTGTGCTTTAGCAATGTTGTATATGCCTTGGTAATTTTGCTTTATTTCTTTTTTTAAATGTATATTTAGTTTTATTTGATATGTATTTCAGTTTTAGTAATTTTAGTACTTCAAAAACCTATTTTGTTTCAGTTAGTTTTCCCACCAATACATTTCA